ATCTGGCCCCATTCTTCTACCATGCCCTCTTTGCCCTCCTTGCCCTCCTCTTTTCCTGTCCCCCATCCTTCCTGGGCTCAGCCTGGAATTTCCCTTCTCCCAGATACCCATGTGGCTTTTTCTCCTTGTCTCCTCCTAACACCTGACATGCATTTTCTTTTCTCTTCTCCTCTCCCTCCCTTCTCTCCTCTCCTCTTCCTCCCTTCTCTCCTCCTCCTCCTTTCCTCCCCTCTCCTCCTCTCCTCTCCTTTCCTCTCCTCCTCTCCTCTTTTCCTCTGCTCTTCTTTCCCTCTTTTCTTCTCTTCCCCTGTCTTTCCCTCCTCCCCTCCTCCCCTCCCCTGCTCTCTTCCCTTCCCCTCCTCTCCTCTCCTCCCCTCCCCATTCTCCCCTCCTCTCCCCTCCCCATTCTCCCCTCCCGTCTTCCTCTCCTCTCCCCTCTCCTCCCCTCCTCCTTCCCTCCCTCCCTCCCTCCCTCCCTCCCTCCTTTCCTTCCTTCTACAGATTTTATTTGAGAGAGAACACAAGCAGGGGGAGCAGCAGAGGAAGAGGGAGCCTCCTTCCTGCCCAAAGTTGCCAGGGACCTGCCAAAGACAGACACTTAACCCAGGTGCCCCGTGACATGCATTTTTACCCTTCCTAAAGCAGCAGCCTTCTCCACACCAACACCCCTGCAATATTGTTCATTTTGTTTAGCCTGCATGTATGTCTCTGTAGTTGTTTCTGCCTCATGATATTTAGTTATTTGTTCATGGTCCTTTTTGTGTTTTGTTCATGACTGTGACTCAGACATCCGTCAAGAGAGAGTGGTATGAATTCTGTGTTCAATAAATGTTTGAGAAATGAATGAATGATTGAGTTCTTATTCATACGTACTTACTATGCACTTGCTTTTCTGTAGAATTCTAAGAGTTCCGAGTTTGGGTTTGTATGTGGGTTTTAAGTACTGCAGGATGGCTTAATGAGCTCTGGATATTAGTCTTTAAGTCATTAGTAGTGGAACTATTGGATGAAATTAGTAAGGCTTCATTTTAATTTTAATCTGAGTTTAAAGAGAACATATTGTCTATTTGGATTAACAATCTGTGTTTTTTCTCTTTTATAGAGCTTCTCTATATAAATTTTTCTTTTTCCTCTGCGTTGCTTGGTTCGTTAATTTTATGAGAGCTGTTTGTATATTTTGTTATGTATTTTTTTCCCTGAATCTTGTTTTCCTTTTGATTTTTCACTTTGTTTCGCCAGACAAATGTTAACTCTTCAAAATTTATGTAAAAGAATAAATTTGTAAGAATTGATAAGAAAATTTTGAAGAACATGTATAGCGGGAGTCTTACTAGATACTAAAAATAGAAGTTCTCAAGCAGTGTACATAAAATTTACATGGTTGCTGTTTAAAAAATGAGTCTGCTATTTAGAGTTTTTCAATTTATAGGTATTGGGGAGGGAAGGAAGAGGGGACAGCATGTTTGAAGAGTCTTCTATTTAAATACTTGCAAAGGTAATTCTGGTATAATTGGTCTTGTGGATCACAGTTGAGAAGCACTGCTGTCAGTCTACTGTATTTGGAGGCATGGCAAAGCAGTAGACAGGTCCAACCAAGGAACAGAATCGTGTCTAGAAACAGATCCAATTCTGAACAAGGACTTACTGTTGAAGATGACATTTTGGTTAATCGAGAAAAGGGTGGTTTATTTAATAAGCAGTTCAGGTAGTTCATCCAGAAGAAAAAGCTTTCTTCCTTACACAGTATAGAAAAATAAATTCCATATTGATTAAAGATCTAAATGATGTAAATACTAGAAAAAATACAGGAGACCATTAGTGTAACCCTGGTATGGATGAGGCCTTCTTAACATGAACTGTAAACCTAGAAGTCGCGAAGGAAGTGATGAACAGATTTAATTGTTCAGGTTTGCTTTCTGAAAGCTGATACCGTAAGATGGGCAACATAATAGAGCATCGTGACTATTTCTTAGTTCTGTAGATTTTCCACAACCGCTTCAGCTAATGGGATGCAGTTGGCCAGAGGTTGGTGCTGTACCCTGTTTTCGAAAAGGGTGAAGTCTTCTCAGAGGCTTTTGGAACAACAAAATGTCTTCACTGCATGTGGCTGGTACATGCAGGCTGCATCTGATGCTTCTGAACCCTCTCCTTGTCCCAACCCTTGGCGTTCACAGCACTGCCTTCTCCAGGTTCCACTTTTATTGGTCTTGCCACCGGGATTTTCTTGCTCAGTCTGGGCTTTGGTTTCCTTCAAAAGTTTTCTGTTCTTGAACTTGATTTTGGAGATTTCTTACATTCTCATCCTTCATCTGAGTATGGCTCTAAAATGTGTGCTTCTAGCTCTGATCCCTCTTAATCGTCACAGTTTATACATTTGGATGACTCACCGGCATCTCCGACTTCTCATTTTCAAGACTTGTATTCATCTCCTTTCCAGTGGCCATCCCACTGCTGATACATTTCTGTCTCTGTTGAAGGCACCCAAACCATTTTTGCCTTCTTTCACAGCAACTCCTCTGATTCGCGGCTTTATTCTCCAGGGTTCAGATAACAGAGACCACGGCGCTGAATTTAAAGATTGCAGTTACTGGGGCGCATTGGAGGAGCAGCAGCTGCTGGCACCCTCTGGGCCATCAGGAGCTGGAAATCCCAGCTGTTGACTTCTGTCACGCACTTTAGCCGCCTTACTCCTAGGAGCAAAGGATTTTATCTCAACTTTTCTCTTACCTGATTGCCTCGATCCCAGGACCTCTGGGATTCATGACCTGAGCCGAAGACTTAACCAACTGAGCCACCCAGGCGCCCCTGGACTTTTAATTTTCTAAGCATGATTTCCTTTAGTTCTTTGAACATGTTTTTCATAGCTGCTTTGAAGTCTTGTGTGCGTCTGGCATTTGGGCCCTCTCAGGGACAATTTCTGTTGCCAGCTTTCTCTTCCTGTGTTTGGATCTTCCCTGTTTATTTGCACGCCTCTTAATTTTTTGTTGTAAACTGCACATTTAAGATCTTTTATAGCATTTCTGAATGCTGAGTGCCCCCTCCCCATTTCCCTGGCTTGTTGTGTTGCTTGCTTGTCTTTTTAGTGACTTGGCTGGCATTTTATACTCCCCCCCCCCCACCAGTGTGCATCCTTTGATGTTGCTCCTCAGTGAGCACTGCCTTGGGAACACTGAGAGTTTCCTTGAAGGGCCCTCTTTAGGGGATGGCAGCCGGTTTTAGTAGCACTCTTGAACCATCTCTTTCTCTGATCTTGTTAATCTGCTAAGTCTGTCTCTGTTGGTTCACACCCAGCAATTATTCTCCACTGATAGTTAGCTGATTGCGTTATTGTGTTAAACAGAGCCCTGGGCCATAAATTGCCCCACGGTGTGATTCAGTTAAATGGCCTTTGTAGGGGTTATTTGAGGCCAATCTTCGACCGGCCCTGACTCTGGAAGGGCTCTTCTTCAGTTCTCTGCTCCCTGATTCTGTTAAACTTCTGTTTGGTCTACTCTTCCTTGTTGCTATCCTGGAACTGCCAGCCTCATCTTCATTGCTCATCACCGAAGTCTCCATTGTTTTCTGTAGTGCCATGAAGCTTGAGCTTCCCTGTTCTCTGTTCTAACTGAAGTCAGTCCACTTAGGGATTGCTGAGGGGCTCTCTGTGCTTACAGCCTGCTTTGGCCTGTGTAGAACCTATGTGCCGTTGTTCCAAAGCCAGGGGCACGGACAGCAGCTTGTCTTTTCTGTGAGTGGGGGCCTGGCCTGCGCTGTTGCCTCTGGTCTTCTGTGTGTGGAGCTTCTCTCTCTGCAGTTAGTCCCTGCCTCAGCTTCTCATAACCTAACAGGTGTCTGGTATTATTCTTGGCCTGCTGTGCCTGCAGTAGAGAGCTTCCTCATGTTTCCTCACATTTTTTGGCCACATGTGAATCTAATAGAACTTCTCCACTATGGAGTTGGGGGTAGGAGATGAGAATACTAGAAATCATAACTCTGGATTTGGAGCTGGATGGAATAATTAGTAGGTTTTTTTTCTTTCTCCCCCCCCCTTTTTTTTTTAAATGATAGTATGTACCTACCACACAGAGGCTTGTTTCCTCTGCCTGGAGTGCTCAGTTTTCCCCAGAAAGGCACATGGCCCACTCTCCCTCTTTTTGGAAGTCTCTGCTCAGATAGCCCTGGCTGCAGAGACTCCTTTGGACCACCCTTGTACTACTAGCCTCTCTGGCCTCGCCCATTCACGTTTCCCTTTCTTGGGTTCACTTCTCCTCTGAGGATTTACCATCACTTGGTGTGCCTATATATGTACGTTTGTGTGTCTTCCTCTCCCAGTGAATTGTAGGCTCCCAGAGGGAAGGGACAGAGACTGTTGTTCACTGTTGTAGTTCCTGTACTTAGAACAGGATGTAACACATAGGAGATTGTCAGTAAATCTGATGAATGCAAAGTAGAAATGGTCAGAGTTTACTGCTTTCTTGCTTCACAGTTTAACCTGCCAGACTGAAAAATACCACTTTGGAAAGTGAATTCTATGTTTTTTTTGCCAACACCAGTTGTGTGTTGCCACCTAGAGCGAGAGCGTGGAGCCCGCTGGGAAAGAATGCAGTGATTATTGAGCAGGTGGCCGGGGCCATGAGGGAGGAGAATGGTGTGTCTGCAAAGCACTTGCCATCCCCGAGGGATGAACAGGAAATCAGTACATTTTTGGCCTTGATTCTAGACTTCTCACTTGCTCTCTTCTCACCACTGGGAAGTTTGTGGACACTTGGGGTTAGGTTGGAAAAATCACCTGTTTACAGAATGATGTAGAAACTTCTCTGTGGTAATTTCCATTGCTAATAGTTGTAAGAGACTCACCCGACCATATTGGGAGTGGACTGGACTTTGCTGGAGGCCAGTACTAGCTGCTGCTTGATTGGGGGGAAAAAAATCATTTGCGTATCTAAAATGAAGATTTTTTTTCTTTATAGTTATTTTAAAATGATTTTGAACTAATACCTTTTTTCCCCCCTTCCTTCTAGATTCTGGAAATCCGTTAATTCCACTTTTTTTGAGCACTTATGAATAACCACGTGTCTTCATCTACCATGAAGCTAAAACAGACCATCAATCCCATTCTTTTGTATTTCATACATTTTCTGATGTCACTTTATACTGTTTTAACGTACATCCCATATTATTTTTTGTTTGAGACAAGACAAGAAAAAGCAAACAAAATTAAAGCAAAACCTGTAAATTCAAAACCCGAGTCTGCATACAGATCAATTAACAGTTTGGATGGTTTGGCTTCAGTATTATACCCTGGATGTGATACACTAGATAAAGTTTTTATGTATGCAAAAAACAAATTTAAGGACAAAAGACTCTTGGGAACACGTGAAATTTTAAATGAGGAAGATGAAGTACAACCAAATGGAAAAATTTTTAAAAAGGTAAGGTGATATTTCATTGCCTTTGTCTTTCTGAATAAAAGGTTCTCTCAGAAGTGGTGGCAAGGGACAAGGACAGCCTGCTGCCGTCCCATGTGGCTGATGTGGCAGGAAAAGCAGTCTGCCAGGGTGGGCAGAGGACCGTGTTCTGATCCCCTGTACCCTCCCGCATGGATTTGTTCTGAATTTTCAGACTGGCCAGAATGCCCACTGAGCCTAAATGTCGACCACAGCTTGGAATAGACTGCCTTGAGCAGTTTTGGGTCTGAAACTTTATTCCCTGTTGGTTCCACAAGTACCTGTGTGTGCTTGAGATGGTTCTGGGTTTTTCTGGTTTTATATATTTTTTAAAAAAGATTTTATTTATTTATTTGACAGAGATCACAAGAGACAGAGAGGCAGGCAGAAAGAGAGAGAGAGAGAGAGAGAGAGAGAGAGAGGAGGTAGCAGGCTCCCTGCTGAGCAGACAGCCTGATGTGGGGCTCGATCCCAGGACCCTGGGATCATGAGCGGAGCCAAAGGTGGAGGCTAACCCACTGAGCCACCCAGGCGCCCCATTTTTTCTGGTTTTAATGTAGGTTCCATTGGGTGCTTAATGTGTTGGTACTTCGGTAGTGACAACTGCATGGTTTTTTAAGGATTTCTCTTCACCCGTATAGACAGTAGCACCTGCCGTTGTTGGTTTGAAACAGGGGATAAGACACCCTTAGAGGCAGTATAACAGTGGTTAAGAACCTGAATTCCAGATCCAGACTATGGGTTTGGATCTTAGCTTTGCCACCTACTGGCTATGTGACTTTGAAAAAAGTTATTTATTTAACAAATTTGTGTCAGTTTCTTTATCTGTCATATGAAGATGATGATTAATGCTGATAATTATTAGCATTTCTTATGGGCCAGGCAGTTTTAAGTTCTTTATATGTACCAGCGTATTTAAGACTTAAAGTAGCCCTATGAGTTCGTGTTACTGTTGTTACTTTGCGGATGATGGCCACAGAGGCACCGACGTTCCAGCTAGAAGCGGTAAAGCCAGGACTAGAAGAACCTAGGTTGTCTTGCTCCAGACTCCTTAGCAAATGCCAGCTCTCAGAGTTATTGAGAGTATAAACTGAATGTATGTATACATAACACACACACAAACACACACTCGTGTGTGTAAACAGAACAGTTGTGGTATCTAGTGTAAATGCTCTAGTTTTATTATATTAGCATTATCTTGGGAATTGGGTGGTCAGAATTATATGAGTGACTTCAGAGACACATGGTGGTAGTGCAGCACTGTGAAGGATAGGGAGTAGAGAAATGGCACGGAAATGCCTTTTTTTTTTTTTTTAAAGATTTTTATTTATTTATTTATTTATTTGTCAGAGAGAGAGAGAGAGAGAGAGAGCGAGCACAGGCAGACAGAGTGGCAGGCAGAGGCAGAGGGAGAAGCAGGCTCCCCACCGAACAAGGAGCCCGATGTGGGACTCGATCCCAGGACGCTGGGATCATGACCTGAGCCGAAGGCAGCCGCTCAACCAACTGAGCCACCCAGGCGTCCCTTTTTTTTTTTTTTTTTAAAGATTTTTTATTTATTTGACAGAAATCACAAGTAGGCAGAGAGGCAGGCAGGCAGAGAAGGTGGGGGGGAAGCAAGCTCCCCGCTGAGCAGAGAGCCCAATGCTGTGCTCCATCCCAGGACCCCGGGATCATGACCTGAGCCGAAGGCAGAGGCTTTAACCCACTGAGCCACCCAGGCGCCCGGAAATACTGTTTTTGAATATGGAGTCATGACTCTGAAGATAAAAATTTTTTTAGAGGCAGTAAGATGATCAGTAATTATCTTTGCTTGATTGATAATTTGGTCAGATTATAGGTTTATTATGTGTGTAGGTGCAGTTGTTTTTCTTTCCTTTTTTCCAACTATATCCTGACTCCAGCTGCCTTTTTTCTGTTAGTCATGAAGGAACGCTCAGGTATCAGAGGAAAGTTCAAATAATCATACCAGGAATGAAATACTTAGTTTCTCCTGTGATTGCAGGGCCAGGGGGATGGTATTTAACAATTTGGTATTTAACGGTGGTATTTAATGGGCCAATAGGGCCCATTATTGTTAAATTGGCACTTACTCCTACAAATTCCAGAGTCTTTTTCTTTCAAACATGGAGATGGCAAGCAAGTTAATGCTAGTTAACGCCAGTAACTCCTAGAAATTTAAAGCATTATTCTAGCTCCAGACAACAAAATCTGTAAGTGTCCATCCCCTTTAAATAAAATGATCTTGTATCTTGTTTTGCCTTAAATTGTGCTTGTTTATCTCGCTTTGCCTGTCACATTAACAGTGCCACTTTGCAGTCTCAGAAGTGGCTTGGAGAAATGGTATAGTCCCTTGACTATTTATTTATTTATTTATTTATTGGTCCCTTGATTTTTAAGGTATATTCTCTATTTCTTGTGCTGAGTTAGTTTTGCCTCACTTAAATGATTTTTTTTTTTCTGTTAACTTAAGGTCTGTCTGGAGATTTAATAGCACATTTCTTGAAATTGAAGTTATGTAGTTAAGCATGTTTGTTTCCTTTTGTCTAACCTGTAGATTATAATTTGTAAAACATTAAGTCATAATGGTGTCTGAGTTTTTTTTCATATTGAGTTGCTACTTTTTAGGGTATACATTCTTGATTTTGTCTTTGAGAGATCTGGTAGTTAGAAAAGGTACCAAGAACACTACGCTTTTTGAGTTGCAGAAGTTTGCTACTTGTATGCCTCCTCTTTTAAAACATTCCTTTTTGTTTCTTGGTCTAATCCTGTTTGAATCAAAAGATTGGGTTCCCTTGTTTTTAATCTGGGCATATGTAACAGAAGTTCTCTGTTAGCAGGAAGTTTAATTTTTCTCCATGTTACAGGCATTTTATGGGACTGGCACTGTTTTTCAGTCCTCATTCAGCACTTAGAGCAACAAACTAAGCTTCCAAGTATATAAAAAGGAGATCAGTATGGTGATTAGGAAATTCCTTCTTAATTCAGTTTATCAGTGTAATTAGGACATAATAAAATCTAGAGCTTTCACAGTTGTTCCTTAAATGTGGCCAGATAACACAGTGTACACAAGGAGAGTATTTTTCCCTGTTGTGTGTTTGCGTATGTGGCCTTTTCCTTCCTGTCATGCCCATGGTGGCTTTGTAGTCATCGTTTATTCAACATATTTGAACTCAAATAGGGAAGTTAGAAGCTGAAAAAAAAAAAAAAACCTCTTTATAAAATCAGCAGCCTTTTTTGTCTACAGGATCTCATTCTCAGATCTTTCTACCATTGACATTTGCCTTCATATTGGGATTTGTGCTTTTTCAGACTCTTCGGGGAAGTCTTTATATAACCTCTGATATAAAAAGTGTTATATTTTTCCTGTTTGAAATTAGGCTTATTGGGAAAGTAAAATTTTTTAGGTTTCCTGTATAGTAAATGAAGCAAATGTTTTCTGTTAGACTTACTCAAGAAGAGAGTGACTTGAGTTTCTCTTGGTCTGTGTTGCAATGGTGTCATGGTTTGCAAACTAAATGGTGGGTACTTCAGCTGGGTGTTACAAACAAGCTAGGCTTCCTCCCTTTTGGTTTCTTGTTTATACTCACTGTATTTCGGCAGAAGCAGCATCTACTTTGATAGGAGAGTAAAAAGGGAACATTTCACAACTGGCGCTTGGTAGATAGTAAGAGTGGTATTGCCTAGGCTGGTGTGGTTTCTGCTGAGTGCTTACTGACTGGTGCGCCAGCGTGTTTCCTATGAATATATCGTCATTAATAGTTTACGTACTGGAAGATAAACTTAAATTGGAAAAGCCTGCTAGTGGTATAACAGTATCTACAAGTTTCCTTTCTTCCTGTTTTGGGGGCTGAGCTTAGGGATTAACCCCAGAAGGTATCTGATATGGTTGAATCAAAGATTCCCGGACATTTATTTTAATTAAATGAATGCTGAAGCTTTATTTTCATCTTATAAGTCTGTTTTGAGCTCCCAAAGGAAGATAAACAGAAGAAAAGACAGTGGTGATTCTGCTGTAAATATGCCCACCATAGTGTGGCTCTCACCTTCACTAAGATATGTCTGTGGAGGGGGTGGGGCACAGAGAGGCAGGGAAGCAGAGGCTGCCATGTTCTTGAGGCTTGGCAAGCTTTTTCTTGTTTCCTTCGGCTTTATGAAAATACAGCAGAGCTTAGCACCTGGAATGTATGTCAGCAGCTCATGATGCCAGCCTTCCCAGCTGCGAATGCATTGTACCAAGGTCCTTGGAAATAAAGAACAGTGAAGGATTGGTGTCCAGAGATCTTTAAAATACATGTAGCTGAAATAGAACAAGGTTGCAAAGAGTAAAAATAAGTTTACGGTTTTACGGTGAAATGGAAAGGAGCACAAGGCTGGTTCTAACATTTAGTAACTACCAGAAGCACTTAAAATTCTTTTTCTTACATATTTTACACACATGACAGGGAAGAAAATAGTAGGGATTATATAATCACAGTGCTTAGAAAGAGAAGATTGCATTGTGACATTCCTTGTAAATTGATCTAGAACAATAACAGAAGTACTCATTTCTGTTCAGTGCCTACTTTTGTGTTGGTTCTTGCTCCAGAGTCCTATTTTTTTAAAAATCTAATTGCATGTGTGTAAGATACTTACTTTCTGACTGGTTAGGACATTTACATTTTAATTCATGTGAAAACCAGTGGTCAGTCTCTTGGCCAGGGCTCGTGTTTTCATTATTATAGTACTGTCCCCAGCCAAAAGTTTGGTTCCTTTCCATACGTGTTCCTCTCCTAGTCAGCCTCTGTTTGTTAAAGGCCCTACCATGTACTAAATGTTTTGTTTTTTCTTGTTTGTTTTCTTACCAGAAGTCGGAGTTTTTTCCTCCTTAGAGCCCCCCCTTCCCTTTTTACCAGGTCTTTTACTTCCACTCTTGCCCCCACAATAATGCACTCACAAACAGCAGTTGAATGGGTCTTACGGGTGTTAATCAGGACACCTTCCTCGCCTGCCCGGTAACATCTCTTCTCCTTTCTGTGGAGCAGTCAGAGCGTTGTGGTTTAGTGCTTAGATACTGGAATGACTCTGCCTTGATTCCTGTTCTAGTCCTGTCACTTAGGTGGTCAGTGACATTTTTGTTATCTTTGAGCAAGTTCTGCCGACTCTCTTGATGCCTCAGTATTCTCATTTGTCAAATAGGGATACTAAGAGTAACCCTGGCTTAGGAGTTTCTGAGAGAGTTGCTGCGATATGCTTACTAGCCCAGAGTGAACATTGGCAAAGTTTAGCCACCCTCTTCCTCCTCATGATCACCACCAGCCATCCAGACTTGCTGAAGATTTTCACCCCTTGGTTCCCTCACAGTGACCTGTAATAATCTTTATTCACATAGAGAAAGGTTCCGTGAAGCTGGGTGTACTTGGTTGAAGACAGCAGGGAAGTGTGTAACTGGAAGTATTTCTATTCTGAGTGGCTCCAGGAAAAGAAAGCCCTTGTTTTTGCACTGTTTAATACCTCAACTACCTGAAAACTTGATCGTTATTGATTGTCTCATTCTTCAGGTTCCTGAATGGTGAAATATTTGTGTGCTTTTATTTTACAGAATGTTCTTTATATTATCTTGGTTTTATTTTTATAGTTTATCTTCTGAGATAAGAGGCCCTCATCATTAGCATCATCAAAGCATCTAAATTCATCTGTTCCTGAACAAAGTAAATGATTAAGTTCCTCTGGGGCACTGGTGGGCGGAGTGGTAACATTGATGTTTAGCCATGTGTTGTCACACCTGTCCTAGAATAAAAATAGAACCAATTAAATATGAGACAGGGAAGTGATCAATCATAGGGCCAGTCTTACCTCTTCCCGTACCTCTGCAAATGAGGAAGCTGCTCAGGGGTGCCATGGTTGGTCATCATTTCCAATAGCCACTCTAGTCATTCCCTTGCCTCACTCAGAGTTGAGAAAATTGAACATACTTTTGTCTCATGAATGAGAATATTTAAGAGGTAGTAGGCAAGGGATGTGTGCAGCGGAATGGAGACCAGAACAGAAGCAGTTCTAGAGGTTAAAAGATTAAATGGATGTGGATTTTTTTTTTTTTTTCAAGCAGTCTTTTAAAAAATGAGGCTCCTGGAGGAAAAAAGGGGTCAGAAGACTCTCTCAGGGCCCAAAGTGAATTGAAATGATGTTTAATTACAACCTTCATTCCTTGTGTATAGCAAATAATTACTGAGTGATGACTTTATGCTAGGTGCTTTGTTCTGGGCACTAGGGAGACAGTAATGAATAGGTCACAGAGGTTACTCTTCTCATGGGTCTTATATTTGTATGGAAGGAAGAGAGACAGTAATAAGTTAACAGATGAAATAACTACTACAAAGACATAAAGATGATTGGAGATTAGGGATAGCCTCTCTTGGTAGATTATGGCTAAGTGGAGGCCTGAACAGCAGGGGACTCAATTTTGCGAAGATCTGGGTAATGAACCTTCTGTACAGTGGGACAAGGTGTGTGCCCACTGGCTCTAAAACTGGAATAAACCCAGTTGGGTGAGGCACTTGAGGTACAAAGTTGAAGAAAGTATTCAAATCCTGAGAGTGAGTACTTCTCTAAATTTTGCACCCGTGCTAGTTACCTCTCTTACCTCATCCTAGTTCCTGCCTTGGCTCAACCTGTTTGAGGGACAGAAAGGACAAAGTTGTATTTATAGGAAGTCATGAGTTAGGGGTGGTAAGTCTGGGGAAGAGGATTTGATGGGAGCACAGAGACACTGGCATGGCTAGGTCTGTTAGGGCTTTGTAGGCCAGCATAAGGTTTTTGAACTTGAGTGTGGAAGTAGAGGTGCCTGGAGATAGAAATTTGGGAAGTGCTTCGAAGTAAAGTTCTTCTAAATTTGGCTTTTGTTAGGGACACTTCAACCATTGTAATACCATGAGGGGGACTGTGAAGAATAGTACAGATGTGTGTAGGTTATTGAACTTGGTGCTAAGAAGATAAGGGCATTTCTGTTGAATTTCTAATTTCTCAGTGATGTATGAGACAGTATTATCACCTTATCACCTGGACCGGGGGTAGAGGATATTTGAGTAGAGAGAAGGTTTCAAGTAGCCATTTCAGAGGGTGAGAAAATGAGTAGATCAGGGAGTCCTTATCGGATTTCTGGGTGGTGAGATCTATGATCTTGGATAGAATGAGGTTGGGTGTTCTTCAGCCGTATGGACAGGGAATAAATAAATGAGTTTAATCTCAGGTTTAAGCTAACCATGGGGGATAGAGTTAGAATTGGGATTTTTTTCCAGCAAAAGTAAAAATTAGGGGGTAGGTAGGGGCCTTGAAATGTAATCTTCATGGGAAAGATCACTACTAGGAGATTCAGTGGTTTAAAGAATTAAGTGAAATTCCCTTTAGTTACATTTGAATTAAACTCGTGATTTGATTTCTTTGCCAGTGGTGGCCCTATCATATGGGTTTAAAGATTTGGATTATGTAGATAATACCTTCCAGAGTATATACATTCTCTGAAACTTACAAAGCTCATCATTTAGGTTGTAGAATCTTAAGAGGTGGCTCATGCTGATCTTTGGAGTGTAAAATTCTTAATTATAATCCAGTTCGTGCACATTTTAGCCAAGTTCTTATCTGTCTTCTCACCCCCACAGAGCTCCTTATGAAGTCACTGGAGCTCCCCGTGCTTGAGCATTTCATGGGGGTGCAGAGCAGGGTGAGAGTTTGGTACTTGAGAATTTAAATAAATACTTTAAATCCAGTTGCCTTATCCATCAAAGACAGACTTCATTCCCTAAGTCTGTTATGGAATAGGACACTAGAGGGCAGTATATATCCTCTCTGCCTGCATTCCCCCCACCCCACACCTCTGCCACAATTTTATCCAATCTCTTATTTGTAGAGCTCTCTGAAATGTTGGATGTGTTTTTGGAAATGAATTTGGTTAAAGTATATGAGACATAATGAGTGAAACAGCCATGTTCCGAAATTACATATATATATATAGAGAGAGAGAGAGAGAGAGAGAGTGCGTGCGTGAAGAGCTTTTAATATAGTCTGTATGTAATTGGGGATTTATAGTCTAAGTTGGAGAAAATCTTAAAGAAAAGTAAGCTAGCCAGTTTTTTTTTTTTTTTTTTTAAAGATTTTATTTATTTGACAGAGAGAGATCACAAGTAGGCAGAGAGGCAGGCAGAGAGAGACAGGGGAGGAAGCAGGCCCCCTGCGGAGCAGAGAGCCCAACGTGGGGCTCGATCCCAGGACCCTGGGATCATGACCTGAGCTGAAGGCAGAGGCTTTAACCCACTGAGCCACCCAGGTGCCCCGAGCTAGCCAGTTTTTAAAGAGGATTATAACTAATGAACACTTAATGTTACCTTTACTTATGGTAAGCACAAATGAAATGTTGAAAGCCCAGTGGTGTCAGTGGGCATTTAAGGCTTCAGCGGAAAGACTTTGATGAATATTGAAACTAGTCCTGGAGGTTGCGTAAACAGAGACTTGTTTAGAGTTCAGTACAGGAGAGAGCCATTCACATTGAACAGCCATAAATATGTTTGTTATCTTGGGTCTAGCCAGTTTCTGTTCATAAATCATATTGATATTGAAATCTGGGAATTCATAAATAGGGGGGAAAGTAAATTTTTGGTATCAGTACTTGATACTAGGCTAAATTTTAAGCTAACATCTAAATTGTTTAAATGATGTATAAATGAATTATTGATATATAAGCTTTTCACAAAAAAGCTAACCTTTAAAATCCTGTCAAACTCTGAAGACCCCCCCCACAATAAAAGATTTAGTGTAAGATTGGTCATAGAAAATATAAAAAAATAACTAATTTTCAAAAGTTTTTTATTTGAAATTTACTTTCTAGCTTTGTGTTAGAAAAAATAGTTAAGTTACATGCAAACATAACTGGTTGTCATTAAATTTGGAACAAATCTTGGCTTCTTCCTAGGAAATAATATTTTGGTTATATTAAAAGGTATTTGTATGTTTTGTGTTTATTTTATCAGGTGATTCTTGGAAACTATAATTGGCTGTCCTATGAAGATGTCTTCGTTAGAGCTTTTAATTTTGGAAATGGTTTACAGATGTTGGGTCAGAAACCAAAGACCAACATCGCCATCTTCTGTGAAACCAGAGCCGAATGGATGATTGCTGCGCAGACGTGCTTTATGTATAATTTTCAGCGTACGTGGGCTTTCTGATCTGTGTGGGAGAGAGGATGCTGTTATAAATATTTCACTATCTGGAAATTAAAATTCTGAAGTTAATTGCCACCTTGCATCTAATCAGGGGACTATTCTGTTACAACTTAGAGTTATAGGTCTACTTTGGAACAAATTGTGTAGTTCGTGTAGGCCTGTTAATAGGGGCTGTGGGGCCTCGCTGACCAGGCCTGTGGGTCCTTGATTATGCTGCTGGTTCTCTCAGGAATCCTCTTGTGAAGTTAGTGTCACTTTGTCCCCTCTTCTGTTGGTAGTAGCAGTTGACCTCTAAAACTGCACTACTCAGAGCCATGAGCCAGGTGAAATGACGGGATTTTTATATCGTGGTTTAAGTGGCAATCCAGATGCCCCGTCTTTGAGGTAGTTCTGGAAGCTTAGTTCACAGATCTTGGTGGCATAATGGGATGTTAATTATGGACATTGTCTTACCTTTCAGATGGAACAGAAGAGCTATTTTTATCAGATTTCTTGCTGTAAATGCCTCCACTGGTTTTTTAAACTGACACACCTTTTTGTTTTCATAGACTTGGGTTTATTGTTTGCGTCTTTTGGGAAGCTTCAAAATAATTACCTCTTAAAGTCACTTTAAGTCTGACTTCTGTGAGCTAGGCAGCAAGTAAATAAAAGTCCACATGATGATGATTAAATTTCAGTATGACTAAGAATGTTTTTCTCGAGTTTTCTACTAGAATAAGCAGTACTGCCACCTGTTGATGTTATTTTCTTAACATACAACCCCTTCAACCTGATACTCAGTACATTATCTTTATCTACAGTATTATTCTTTTTCATATTTTAGTACTGAGTAACAACTAAGGCTTGACATTTTAGGAGTCAAATAATTCTTTCCATTGTGGCATCCTCTCAGTAACGTCTGTAGGTGAAATAAAACTTAAAATTTTTGTTTAAAAATGTTGGAAATCTTGAAGGAAGTAGATGAGGGTAAGTGAGTGGGCATAAATATTTATTAGTATATTGAAATAATTTAGCTAATCATAGCACAGTTAGATATTGAAAGATACTGGAAATCTTGGAGGAAGTAGGAAAGGGTGAGTGGACATATTTATTAGTATATTGAAATAATTTAGCTAATCATAGCACAGTTACATAATAAACTGTGGATCTGACAATTTAGTGTTCAGTATATCATTAGAATTTCTGACTACTTTCAGAGACTTCACATGTAGCACTTTCATGAAATGTGCAAATACATGACTTGCCCTTCTTTTCCCTGTAGTTGTTACCTTGTATGCTACTCTAGGAGGCCCAGCTATTGTTCATGGATTAAACGAAACAGAAGTGACCAGCATCATTACCAGTAAAGAACTCTTGCAAACAAAGTTGAAGGTGAGGATTGTGGTTACTTTATAATTATCCAGCACTTAAGAATTCTCATTTTCATGAGCTCTAATACTGATACTTTTATGATCTTTAAAATCCTGAATATCTTTGTAAACTTTTAGGAGTACCATACTTTCTTCCTTGCCTTTAGAAAAGAAAAAGTAGATTTCATACATATTTATGTATAAGTAGTGCAGAGTTACAGATCATTAACATGGAATCCAAGATGAAGGGTTTACCTTTTTTATTATGCTCATTTGTTTTCTAGTCTGTTTTCAGCAAATTTATAATTTTCAAGGGTTAGTTTCTAAAGTAATCATTTATTTCTGAAGCATTGAGTCATTATGAGTTTTTAGGATTTTTTTAAAGGGAAGAAAGAGACTTCTATGATAAACTGTTGGAGAAAGAAGTTTTGAAAGTGCCTAGATGACTTCCAGTGAAAACAGTAATATCTGCTGGGTTTTTTAATACCCAGATTTGTGAGTTCCCTCCCTCTCCCCGCATATCTTTATGAGCCTCATAAAAACCTAGGACTTGTGGCTACTCTGTATTACAGGAGGCCTATGTTTATATGCCTATTTTGTAAGGAAGTGACATTGCTGATTAGGATTTTACCTAAGAACAGGGGCATACACAGTAAATCTAATGCTATAAAATAGCTGTTGGAAATGTCAGACCAGTTTCTCCATCTGAAAAGAGTGCTGTTCATACCAGTGCACCCCCTAACCTTTTTTTTGAAGGCAAGAAATGAGTAATTCACAGATTATGGTAAACTACTTTTCTTGTGTCCTAGACTGTTTGCTAAGTTGTTCCTGAGGAACAGCAGCAAAGAACATACTAAATGCTTATGTTTTTCCAGGATATAGTTTCATTAGTCCCACGCCTACGGCACATCATCACTGTGGATGGTAAGCCACCAACGTGGTCCGAGTTTCCCAAGGGCGTCATCGTGCACACGATGGCTGCGGTGCAGGCTCTGGGAGCCAAGGCCAGCACAGGTATGGCGCACCTTCCCAGTTCCTTGTCGTCGTTCTGCAGTGACCGCGTTCTCTGGAGTGGTTCCAGATCCTGAAGTCAGATCAGGGACAAATAATTTTCTAGATCATCACTTGGGGAAGTAAGGTCACTCTAGTTATACTTTTCTCTACTTTTCAAAGTAGCGTTTAAGGAAGAATACACACATTAGTTTATTGTTCTAAAGGGGGAACATTATACAGGTTTCCCGTTTCTCTTTTGAGATAGTTTTCAGTGGTTTGAAGTTCGTTTTCTAAACAATGCCATTAAACTAATCCTATGTGGATCATCCGTAAGGATGTACAGATAGCTGGAGTGGCTAGACCTAGATCCCCTCCTTCGTTCCCTGCTCCAAATCTGCCTTTTTCCAGAGGGAGCATCTTTTTATAATGCGCCTGAACATTAGGCATGGTGATGCTGGAAGTTCCTACTCTCAGATAAGTCTCAGAAAGTGTTAGAAAGCGTATGGGTATCAAGGAATATCCTAAAAGCTGCTGGGATGCTGGGACAATATTTCCTTTATAGTTGGAAACTCAGTGATAAATTAGATGTAAGCACTCAGCTTGGGAATGGGGTTTTGCTGACATTACCATTGGACATTTAAGTGCTAGAGGATATTCAGACATGGATATTTAGTGGGGAGTGGCATGTACTCTGGAGGTAAGTTTGGAGTTAGAGATTTAGAAGCTAGAAGTTGGGTTTTAAGTATAGATGTGGAGGGAGGTGAGGTTACCCACAGAAAGCCATGTCTCCAAAAGCAACTGAGGGTGGGTCAGAGGAAAGAGGGAGGCGCGCAGTTTGTCATGAGGGCGCATGAAGGAGCCTCTCTTGGAGGCAGGTGTTGGCCACAAGAGCAGGTGCCCTGGAGGAGTGGATGACACAGGCATTGGGGGAGGCCCACCCCAGAGCAGTTGCTAGGAGGTGGTGGAGAATTGTGGTGTGGGATGGAGGAGTGAACGGCAGGCTGGAAAGTAAGGACTGGAATAAAGATAACGCGTTGTCATGAAATAGATCTGTGCCTGTAGGAAAGGAAGGTTCACTCAGCAACATGTTTAAAATTATTTCTGCCACTTATTTAAGAAGTCCACACTTAGGGGCGGTCTAAGATTAATTCAGGGGGTGCCACCCATGACCCGCTTCGCTTTGCCTTCCTCCTGTGTCACTTCCAGGATGTGGGCTACTGCCCTTAGGTTTGTGCAGGTGGAGGACACTGTCTTTGAATCCAGGATTCGGACTGTAGCCAAGTCCACTTCACCATGAGGCAGAGAACAGTTGTTAACAAGTGTCTGGGTACCTTAGCCCAACCACACTTACTTCATAGTGAAATTGTTGGAATAGCCATTTGTTTCCCTGTTGCCTTTCTTCCCCAAGTTAGGCAGCTCCTTGGCAGCCAAAGTGACCCTTGTTGCTGGTGATGACAAGCCCCTGTTCAAAACAACATTGCTTTCTACTCCAAGTGAAATCCAAAGTCTTCAGCGTGGCCTTGAAGGCTTTGCCAGATATGGTCCTGGTTCCTACGTCAAAGCCTTTGCTCTCACTTATTTACTATTTGAGGCAATCTCCCAGTTCCAGGGTTTCCATGGCTCCCTTCCTCACTGTATCCAGGTCTTCACTAAAACACCAACGTGCCAGAAAAGCATTTCTTGACTTTTCCATCTAAATACTTCTACTGTCATCTCACCTTGTCTTTATTTTTCTTCCTATCTCTTACTACATTATGGATTTATGGTTTGCTTATCTCAATAGAACATACGTCTCTTATGTGCAGGAACTTCATCTGTTTCGTTGACCTCTGAATGAATATAATTCATGGTTGTCAAATTGAGTTATTAAACATGATTATGAAAAAAATGGGTGCTATGGCTGCATTTCTCAGAAGTGTGTGTGTGTTTTTTTTTGTTTGTTTGTTTTTGTTTTTTCTCCAATGCAGAAAGCAAACCTCTTAGCAAACCAGGGCCCTTAGATATTGCAGTAATCATGTATACAAGTGGATCCACAGGACTTCCGAAGGGAGTCATGATCTCCCACAGTAACATTATTGCTGGTATAACTGGGATGGCGGAAAGGATTCCAGGACTGGGGTATGTCACATGTTCAATGCATATGAAGTAGTCCCTTGTTGATGCTGGTTGTTACATTAACGTGGTTTGTGCCATTTAGTGGTATGTGGCTAAATTAGTCTTTCAGAGTCTGTTGGCAGTAAGCAATTCCTCCAAAAAAATCAGAGGGACTTGAAAATTAATTACAAAATAATTACCGTTGTAAGGTTTAAAATATAGTTTTATATATCATTATATAATGTATATATCATTTATATAGCATTACTTTTTTACTTCAAAAGTGTAAATTTTATCTGACTTAAATTCTTTAATTTAAATAATCAGTTGATCATATTGCTGCTATAGTCTTTTTTTTTTTTTTTTAAAGGATTTTATTTATCTATTTGACACACAGAGGGAGGGAGAGAGACACAGAGCAAGCACAAGCAGGGGGAATGGCAGGCAGGAGAGAAGCAGACTCCCTGCTGAGCAGGGAGCCCATTATGGGACTCAATCCCAGAACCCTGGGATCATGACCTGAGCTGAAGGCAGACTTTAACTGACTGAGCCAGCCAGGCACCCCTGTAGTCCTTTTTATACCTAAACATGTTATAATTGAGGTGAACAAATAACTTCATCTGTTCCAGTATTTATCGAGCTTTATTCATTCTCTTATTTTTGAGGCCAATTCCCGCAGCCATGGTGGCAGGGTAGGCATGCTGTAGGGAAGAGACGGGAAGCCAGATGGGATCATGACAGGTAGTAGAGGAGTCAGTACTTGATGACTAATATGGTGTGGTGGGAGTGCTGGGGTATTTTTGATGCCCTTATGCACAGAAGTTATACTCACAGGTTACTGTGGAACTTAATTTAGGGATGGAGAGAGAGATTTCTCTTATGAATGGATAAGTTTTCAGAAAAAATTAAAAGCAGTAGTTTCCTGGGTTAGTCTTTGCCCTTCATATTTTTGGGGGTGGGGGCAGTTCTTGAAATACATACAGACATACACATTTTCTTACATACAGTATAATTTATTATTTCTAAGTAACTTTCCAAACAGGAATCTGTTGTAAAATTTCTGGCCAGCAGTTCTGGATTCTGTTGGAACTTTTTATTTGGGAGCCCCCCCAGCTTTATTTTATTTTTTTATTTTAAAGATTTTTTATTTATTTGACAGACAGAGATCACAGGTGGGCAGAGAGGCAGGCAGAGAGAGGAGGAAGCAGGCTCCCTGCTGAGCAGAGAGCCCGATTCGGGGCTCGATCCCAGGACCCTGAGATCATGACCTGAGCCGAAGGCAGAGGCTTTAACCCACTGAGCCACCCAGGCACTCTGCCCCCCTACCTTTAAAGACCACTCCTCTTTGGATGATTTCCTCTGTTCTGTAGAAGAACCCTTCATGTTTTGGCCCCTCAGGCCCTGTTTCTTCTGTCTTCTGCACGTTAGCACTTGTAATTAGTGAGTGTCTTCAGGTGGCCCTAGAGACAGCCTCTTCCTTCATGTCTGCCTCCTGGGCTTTAGGTTGAACTGTACTTCTCACCACCCCTCCCCCCAGCATCTTTCTGCCTCCCCCTCCCTCCCCCATACACGCATGTGCACGTGTGCTTTCTCGATCTCCCTCTCTCCATGTGGGTGGGCTCGCTTTGCAATATTTTCCAGCAGAGACCACTCCTGACAGTTGCTTTTACATCTCCCTTTTCTTTTAGAGAGGAAGATGTTTATATTGGCTATCTGCCTCTGGCCCATGTTTTAGAATTAAGTGCTGAGCTTGTCTGTCTTTCTCACGGATGCCGCATTGGCTACTCTTCACCACAGACTTTAGCAGATCAGGTAAGTTAAATGTTTGTGACTTCAGATACTAAGAAAATTACAATTTTTTAACACATTTTTCTATATTCGTATGACAGTATATTGTAAGGATGGCAGTTAATCATTTAAAAATAATTATTTTTAATTTTTTTTGTTTTTACAATAAGTAAATAAAAATGATGAATTTATAATACACTTTTTGGTCTAAGAATTACAACAAATTTCTGAGATAAGGAACAGTTTATATGAATCACTTTTTCTCTCTCTAGTCCTCAAAAATAAAAAAAGGAAGCAAAGGGGATACAACCATGTTGAAACCAACACTGATGGCAGCTGTTCCGGTAAGAATTGACCATTAATTAATGTTGAGTAAAAGATGTGTCATCTGCTACAGAACCTAAATGCTAGGCTAAAAGATAACTGTTGACAAGGTGGTTAATGTAGAATTTATTCCTTATTGATTATATTGCCTTAATGCTCTACTGGATTCATTGTCTTTATTTTTTTTTCTTTATTAGCTTTATCTATTTTTAAAATTTACTGAATGTGGTTTCAGCTTCTCTATGACATCATCAGGTCCTTTCCCTAAGTCACTTCTTACTCAGATCATTTTTGTGATATGTTTGATATTAGTAGAAACCTGAAGCCCGGCAGGAGGTAGGGTGGAAGGTTTGATAACCACTTCCTCCTCCTCTAAACAAATTGTGCCATTACCTCCTGAGTCCCCAGGAACAGTCTGGCCTAGTCATGAAAAAAAGTGACAGAGAATTTAGTGTGCCTTTGAATTACCTGAGAAGCACTGTGTAGCCTAATGTACCTGGCATGGGCAGGGGCCTGGGAATTAGTTGAGTAGAAGTGGGATGGTAACAATTTTCTGTCTCCTGAATTTTAAGTCTTATGTGGCTCCTGATTTTGTTTGAAAGTTTTGGGAATCGTTACCAGGTACCTGAGTACTCCAGTCCAAGCAAAGTTACATAGTTACGCCAAATATAAAAGACCAATAGTTTGATAGTTTCTGTAGGTGTATAGTTTCCTTAGTGTAGTATTTTACTTTTTAGTTCATGTAAACTTTTAGTTCATGTAAAATTAAATATAATTTAAAATTGTAGAGGGAAAACCATTTCAAGTCATAGGGCTCGCAAGCAAAATGCAGTGCAGAGAAGGGAACATTTCCTGAGTGTAGCATTAAAAGACAACCAACCAACCAAAATAACCCTGTGGTCCTTTTGTGAGCAAAGAATGTGGCTCTCTGTATTTTTATAGGGTTATGAGAATTTTAAAGATTTTATTTATTTGGCAAAGAGATTACAAGTAGACCTAGAGGCAGGCAGAGAGAGGGGGAAGCAGGCTCCCTGCTGAGCAGAGAGCCCAATGCGGGGCTCAGTCCCAGGACCCTGAGATCATGACCTGAGCTGAAGGCAGAGGCTTAACCCACTGAGTCACCCAGGCGCCCCAGGTTATGAGAATTTTAAAAACCATTTCATATAGTTGTTCATTTAATGGTTGTTCATTTATGTAGTAAGCTTAGTTTTTCCAAAATAAATAAGATATGCAAAGCCATGTAAAAAATCAGTACTGATTATGTTACTGACCTAAGGCTTTTATTTCTTTTTGTCTCCCCACCCCGCCATGAACATCTAGGTATATTTGTGCTTTGAAAAATTAGTTTTACAGAAACCTCATTTTTAAACTAGTTATGGCTCTATTTAAAAAATTTGTTCCTGATAGATTATATCTTCTAAAATGCCTCAGTACTGATAGAAATATTTATCTGATGTTAAGATATAATATGTAAGGCAGCTGATAGCATTATTGACTTTATTAACTCATTTTTATACATCTAGGAAATCATGGATCGGATCTACAAAAACGTCATGAATAAAGTGAATGAAATGAGTAGTTTCCAACGTAATCTGTTTATTCTGGCCTATAATTACAAAATGGAACAGATTTCCAAAGGCCATGGTACTCCACTGTGTGACAGGTCAGTGGACTCCCTCTCTCTTTGGTGTCAAATAACCATTTTGTTCATATTACTAGACTAGGTAATTGAGATAGTTCTAAGAAATAATTAGGTTTTAGAAAGTCAAAGGGACTCTATAAATTCATCTTGCATAAGAATATGAGCAATTAAAATAGATTGCAGTGTTGTTTGAAAAAATGTTTCACTTATAGTTTTATTATATTTAATAGTGTGCTTTTATTTTCTGTGGACACGTATGTAATTTTAGTTTGAGAAATAGTGTTTCTTTGTTTTTAAATTAATTCCACTATGAATATAAAATGGCAACCAAATAGGAGTAAATGTTTTGCGTTTAAACTGTTAAACGATAGGTTTTACCACAGACTGTTATTTTTTGTTTTTGTAGTGCTGAGTGAGTAGATTTAGTTATAAAATAATTTAGAAATTAAAAAATATATGACTTTTTATTTGTTTTAATGGGAATTTGTTAAAAGATTTTATTTATTTGAGAGAGAGAGCATGAGAGGGGGGAGGGTCAGAGGGAGAAGCAGACTCCCTGCTGAGCAGGGAGCCTGATGTTGGGACTCAGGCCTGAGACTCCAGGATCATGACCTGAGCCTGAAGGCAGTCGCTTAACCAACTGAGCCACCCAGGTACCCCTTTTTATGGCAATACTAATACAGTTTTTACATGCTCCACATTATTTGAAACTATATTTTTTTGCCTTATTTTAATTAACTTCTGAGTGAGATATAAAAATGATTGCTGCTTGGTCTTCTACTTTTCCAGAGTTATTAAAGAAAAACCTACCCTTTCCCCTTTTTGATAAAGATTATGATTAAGCGTGGTGCCTGGGTGGCTCAGTGGGTTAAAGCCTATGCCTTCGGCTTGGGTCATGATCCCAGGGTCCTGGGATCGAGTCCCACTTCGGGCTTCTGCTCGTCGGGGAGCCTGCTTCCCTTCCTCTCTCTCTGCCTGCCCCTCTGCCTACTTGTGACCTCTGTCTGTCAAATAAATAAATAAAATATTAAAAAAAATTATTAATAAGCAGTCTTTTTTATTAGTGTATTTTCAGAAACATTTTAATTAGATGTTTGAATTGTTTTCCTTTTTTAATTTAGCAGACATTTTAAAACAATAAACACTTCAGAAACCAGTGAAATTTTAAAAAGAGATTGTACAAATATGTACCCATTTCTTTTTCAAAAAATACTTAGAGTATGGGTGTATGCAGGGGGAGGGGTAAAGAGGGAGGGAGAATGAGGATCTAAGCAGACTCCACTCTGAGTGCTGAGCCTGATGTGGGGCCAAGTTCATAATCCCACGACTTTGAGATCATGACCTGAGTCGAAACCAAGAGTCAGATGCTTAACTGACTGAGCCACCCAGGTGCCCCCAATACGTACACATTCCTAATGAAGTAAGCAAAAGCAAAGAAAATGCTTTGCTTTTAATGCTAAATTTTATGAAGATACAACAGGATTATTCAGTATTAATAGGTGTGTTTTTAAAAAGATTTTATTTATTAGAGAGACAGATAGTGAGATAGAGAGAGCACAAGTTGGGGGAGATGGAGAAGCAGGCTCCTGCTAAGCAGTGAGTCTGACATGGGGCTCGATTCCAGGACCCTGGGATCATGACCTGAGCCAAAGGCAGACACTTAACTAACTGACCATCCAGGCGCCCCTTAATATCTGTATTATTATATAATATAAAACTAATTGCTCTGGCCATAAACATAAGTTTGTCATTACTGTATAAAATTAAACCTGACAATTTTGAATTCAAATATTAACTTGAAAAGTTAAGAGAAAATGCTACTTTCTTTACTTGGCCAAACATAAAAAAAGTTAAGGTTTGGGGCGCCTGGGCGGTTCAGTGGGTTAAGCCTCTGCAATCGGTTCAGGTCATGATCCCAGGGTCCTGGGATCGAGCCCCGCGTCGGGCTCTCTGCCCCGCAGGGAGCCTGCCTCCACCTCTCTCTCTCTCTCTCTGCCTGCCTCTCTGCCTACTTGTGATCTCTGTCAAATAAATAAATAAAATCTTTAAAAAAAAAAAAAAAGTTAAGGTTTAAGTAGTGGGTGAGAGAATCTCTTAAATTGGCTATGTAGCCTTGGGTGAGCCTGACTCTCAGAATCTCACATTTCAGAATTGGGAGATTAGTCCAAATGACTTGGAGAATGCCATTCAGCTTCAAATTCTCTGATTTTTTTTTTTTTTTTTTTTTTTAAGGTTTATTTTCCGAAAAGTCCGAGGCTTGCTAGGCGGAAATATTCGGCTTCTGTTATGTGGAGGTGCTCCACTTTCTGCAACCACACAGCGATTCATGAACATCTGTTTCTGCTGTCCCGTTGGTCAGGGATATGGACTGACTGAATCTTGCGGTGCGGGAACAATTACAGAAGGTTTGTGTTCTTCAAAGTGGTGTGTCCAAAAAGAGGCTGGGGTGCACCTCTAGGCATTCTTTGGTAATGGTTTTTTTCTGCAGTATGAAGGATAAAAGTGGTTAAGGTATTTGTGTGCAGAATGATGGTAAATTCTAAGTACTGTGATTATTGATAGTGTTTAGAATGTATTGGATACATCTAATAGTCAATAATTGATAGTTTCATGTTAGATTATGATATGTTAAATTAAAAGCTACTTAGAGTTCTGGAAAAAGTTTTAGTAACAAGAATTGGCTGTATTATATACATTTATTTTCTTATTTCAGTTATTAAGTGTCTTTTTGTGAAGAAAAATAAACATGTTTTGTGTAGTTGTTGAGGTATGTGTATTAAAGCTCAAACTTGGAAGTGGTTTATGGGGGTGGTCTGTGTAATGAGAGGAAAACCAGATTCAGTTCTAGAGAATATAATTTCTAGGGTTTATCATGGTGACATGATTGACGAGGCCATCCATAACCCAAGTGGTTCCCAGATGAATCCCGGAGTGCCTCATGTGTCCCTTTTATTGAGGAAAGTTATTTTGCTTCTCAGTACTAGGAAGAGCTACTTTATATTTTCTAGATACTGACAGATATTAAACTTCCTAATTGATCATTTTCCTTGTTTACCTTGAATGTTTCTGTGTACCTTTCTTATGTCAGGTTTATCATACACTACTTCTGTATTTTCCTGTTTTCTATATTTTGGAAGCTATTTCTAAGTTTTGTTTTGCAGGAAATAAAAGTCTTAATTATGTGTTAATTATTGTGTTGAATGTGATTAATCAGTTACAGCTTATATTGTAAATAAAACAGCCTATAAATTATTAAATAATCAGCCTTTTCTTTCTGGTACTTGAATGATCTTTGAAGAGGAAACATGATGAAATAGTAATTCACAATAGTGGTGTGTGCTTTTCCCAGATCCTTGAAAGTTAATCTCCAGCCTGGTCTGGATGATAGCCTAGGCTGCTGTCCGGGAGGCTTAGAGGTCTCCCTTTGAAATAGTGATAGACAGGAGAAGGTTGGAGAGGCTGCAGGTACTGCAAAGCCTTCTGGTCTGACAAGAAAGTGGAGTGGGTCCCATCATCCTTGAGGATAGGGGCTCCAGACTGATGAGCCAGGCAGCTTCACGGAGTGAAGTGGGCCTTGAGAAGATCCGTGAAGGGAGTAAGGCATGTAGGGGAGCTGGAGCAGGCATGCCCCGTCTGACGGGGACCCCAGTTGTTGCTGTGCTGGAGATGCGGGCCCTGTTGTTCCTGGAGGGTCCACACTTCTGTGTAAAATGGCTTGAGTTTTAAATGTCAATAACCAAGTCAGAATAAAAAGAAACCCTGTGTGGGCCCCATAGCTTGTGGTTCACCAGTTTGTGACTCCTGCTTTTAAAGATTCTCTGGGGATGTCAGAGCTTTGGGATACGTCATCATCTTTGGTAGAAAAATGAAGCTGTTTAGTCACCACTGTAATCAAATACCTTTTTTCATTTGTATCTTAGTGTGGGACTACAATACTGGCAGAGTGGGAGCACCATTAGTTTGCTGTGAAATCAAATTAAAGAACTGGGAGGAAGGTAATAACCTGTTTTAACCACAGAGCATTAATCTGTATAATATTTAACCTTAAAGTTAGAACTGTGCTTCATTTTCTTACTTTAGGACATAAATCATCCACAAGTGCTTGTTTTTTATCTAATAGAATTATTTTATCTAGAGCTATACTTGGATTTACTTGCTTCAAGAATGATTCTGAAGAGTTATAATTGCTTTTATTTTGCTTATTTCATTACATGAATGCAAGGAAGAATTATGACAAAAACTTGAAATCTGCTAAACGATGTCAATAAATTAGGAATGATCATAAGTTTATTTTGTAGAAGCAAAAATCATAAAATGTAATCTCTGAAACAGGATTTTTCATATTTTTTCTTTTTTTCTTTTCCCTGATGATTTCAATCTAGAATCATCAGAAGGAAATTTTTACTATGATTTCATAAAATCTGTTGTTTTGCCATTTAAATACTAATTACTTTTTAAAAAATTGCATTTGATTCTATCAGTGTATATAGATTATTAGTGTTTGGTTTCACTTTTCTTTTATACAAAATAAATATTCTGAAGGTTTGATGCCATTTTTCATTTCTCTTTTAGCAGAATTAGTGAAAATGTTTGACAAATTTAAATTTGGAGTCATTCTGAATTTTATAAGGCATAAATCTCTTAAATATAGTGTAATTTGGTTTTACAGTGTTGTGTTTTATTGAATACATGATTTAGTACTTTTATCAGACATCTAAGAATCTCCACAGAGTCCCTAAAGGAGTTTACCTTGTAGTACACATGACTATTTTATACCACAGGCGTTGGATTTTTTTAGTGTAATGTTTGCTTGGAATAGTAGTTTAAAAGCGTCAGTGCTTATGGGTAAGCAACTGAAATGTTGCACCTAGTTTTACTTGAATGAGTTTTGTTCATTTATACTGTCTGCCTCGTTTCCTTTGGGAAACTCTAATTGGATTTAAAATCAGATGTTCCTATTTAGAAACTAACATTTTCTAATTTTCACATGATGTATATAGAAATAAAAATTTAGAATTAACTCTTAATTATTTTGTGTTTACTAGGTGGATACTTTAATACTGATAAACCACACCCCAGGGGTGAAATTCTTATTGGTGGCCAAAATGTGACACTAGGATACTACAAAAATGAAGCAAAAACGAAAGCTGATTTCTTTGAAGATGAATATGGACAGAGGTGGCTCTGTACTGGAGATATTGGGGAGTTTGACCCTGATGGTTGTTTAAAGATTATTGGTGAGCCAACTAATATATATATATATATATATACATATATTTTATATATATATAAAATGTATGTATATATACCCCCTGACAATGGATGTTTCTGAAACAGTTTTGCAAAAGAGATAACTTATATTTAGGGAAGCTTTTTAATAATACAAGAATAGATCTTTCTGCAGTGTTGATAGGGTCTGTTGTATCATCTCTGGAATATAAAATAGAGACTGTGAAGGAATTTTAAGGCTTGACATTTTAGGAGATCTCAAAATCTGTTCAATAGCAGTGATATTTTTAATTACTAGATAACCCTGAAGGAATCAAATTCTTAGTACGGAATATTTATTTTTTGTGTTCTTTGGTATCTAAGGTTTATTGGACACGGCTCTCCTGTTGGAACCATGTCCTGGCCTTGCCTGTGAGATAAGGAAGGCCTGGCAGTTGGAGTATTGTGACCCATGGGGCAGAAAATAGCTCCCTGCCTTCCCTCTTAACATTCTTTTTCTCAGTTAATAGTGTTTCTGTACTAGTCATGCTACTTAGAAACCTCGGAGGAGATGTGAGACTTCAGGGAGCTCCCCATGTGTTACCCCTCTTCTGCTGATTTACCAGGTGAAACGTGCCTCAAGATCATTCTGTTCTGGCAGCAGCTCTTCTGCCCACGGGTCCTGTCCCCGTGGTTTAATAAAACTACCATTTTGCACCAAAAAAAAAAAAAAAAATCATTCTTTTCTCTCTGCCCTCTCACCATGACCATAGGTCAGGCCCACACCTTCTGTCACCCTGTTGCAAGAAATTCCTCTCTCTGGACATGCTTGTCCCGCTTAAACACACGCTTGAGCCGTCAGCACTGATCTCACTGGGCCACTTTGCTGCTAAAAAACTCTAGTGGCAGCTAGGGGCTCGGTTCAGTGCCTCTGTTCTGTAGCCAGATTCACCTCTCCGCCTCCCCATCTAGCCCCTCCCTCCCCCCAAGTGCTGCGGAAGTTCAGGCTGACCTACCTGTCTGTCGTTTACCAGGGCCAGTGCACTTGGCTACCTCCTATCTTTCCTAGAGACTCTGCCCAGGCCTCACTTGGTGGGAATTCTTTCCAGATCAGCAGGTTGGACAGGCTTGACCCTTACCGTTACCATTCTGTGTTGAGGGGATATGTTTCTCTCCAGATAGCACATGAGCTTTCACATGTCACTGAGAACTCTTCTCCTTCCTGGTGTTAATATGTCATAGGGAACATACCTCTTCAGCAGAACATGCCTGAAGCCCTGGAGGGACTCTTGACCAGAAACTAATTTTCTTTTTTGAAAGAATTTATTTAATGGTACTGAAATTAGGGCCTAATTTACTGTGTACTTTTAATTTTGGTGTAACTATTATAATAAACTTAATTGATAGCAAATTACTTCAGGAATGGCCAATATTCATGTGTATTCAAGGTATTTCTGTGCTCCCATGTGCCCCCTCCTGGCCTTTGTCCTGCATAGATCGTAAGAAGGACCTTGTGAAACTGCAAGCCGGAGAATATGTTTCTCTTGGGAAAGTAGAGGCAGCCCTGAAGAACCTCTCCCTTATAGATAACATTTGTGCATATGCAAACAGGTAAGAAAGTAGAATTCTGTTACTTTTACTTCAAACCTTTTGTGTGTTCTTGGCATTTCCTTCCTAGATGAATCTTCTTCTTAAAACTATACTAAGAACTCTTCTTCCTTCGTATCTGTTGTCTCTGGGAGTGGCCTCTTCTCTGGAAAGCCAGTAACTGATTCTGTCCTTGGGATGCTTCCCCTCCTTGTCATCCTCTCTCTCTGGTTTCTGTTTACATCTCACTGCGGTGTCCTGTGTGATGGGGAGGGGAAGAAAGTCAAGTGCTCCTTCTTGGTGCCTTGGCATCCCCAGCAACACGTCTTTCCGCACAGGGAAGCTTCCCAGAAACAGCCCAGAGCATAGGGGAGTAGAGAAGGAAGTTGGATAGTCTTCAAGCTGGACCCTGCTCCACACCTACTACCTTGCACTAGACTTAAGCCTGCTTGGGACCCTCGCCAAGGTGGGGGGGCTCTGCTTTAAGCTGTGTTAAGCTGTGGCTTAACTCCTATCATATCTAATCCGTAATGATACAAGGCAGCTGGGAAGGAGAGTTTAAAGAAAAATCCTGGAAATGTATTCCTGGGAAATGTGTTGGAAATTTATATTGGCACTCTGGTGACATTTTTTCCTAACAGTATTCTATGTGGTAATGTCTCCAGTGTTAATGATCAGCTACTCTGTGGCCAGTGTTCATGATCAGCTACTTCGTGCTACTACTTGCTGCAGCAGTTGACATAATAATTATTATGAAAAGATAAAATCTGGTATCAGAAGAACCAATTTTGAAACAGACTTTAAAGATTAACTACATTGTATTATAAATTATTCTGCCCTTCAATTAGCCAAGAGATGTTTTCTTCTGTGGTACTACAGTTCTGGCTTTTACTTGTGTGATATTAACCAGACTACCCTTCTCTTCCTGATGCTGCTTGCCATTTCCTGCTGCCATTGGCAGGCGTACCTACAGCTCTTTTATTAACAGTTCTCGTGACAACAAAAGAGAAAATAAATGTAACCACATTACTTTGATTTGCTGCCAGATTTCTTGAGATACACTTTTTTTTTTTTTTTTTACTTTAAATATATTTTTTAAAGATTTTATTTGTTTGAGGGCAACAGAGTGCATGAGCAGGGGAGGGGGAAACAGAGAGAGGGAGAGAATCCCAGGGAGACTCTTCACTGAATGTGGAGCCTGACATGGGGCTCGGTCTCAACGCTGAGATCATCACCTGAGCCGAAATCAAGAGTCACATGCTTACTGGCTGAGCCACCCAGGCGCCCCTAGATATAATTTCTATTTACATAAATTTTAATTTCTCTTTAACCTGTTAATGTGAATTACTGATTTAAGAGTTGAATTTTCTAATATTTGTAATTTTCTTTAAAAAAATGTATAAATGGAAGTATTCATAACACACATAGTTGAAATTTGTCATTAAATATCCGATGAAGGTTTATTTAGCAGGGAACTCTGTCAGAGCCTTGAACATACTATGAGTCATGCAGCAGAAGTGGCGTGAGGTGAGTGTGCTAAGTACCAAATAGGCGTCATGTGTGTTCTTTAGTGCAGTCGTGGATCGATGACAACAGCATTGGTAATCATGACTGCAGCTCACACCCTGTGCCGTTTAGATCCTTACCCCTTTGTCCTTTCTGTATTTCAGTTATCATTCTTACGTCATTGGGTTTGTTGTGCCAAACCAAAAGGAACTTACAGAACTCGCTCGAAAGAAAGGACTTCATGGGACTTGGGAGGAGCTGTGTAACAGCTGTGAAATGGAAAACGAGGTCCTCAAAGTGCTTTCTGAAGCTGCTATTTCAGGTGAGTGGCTGTGAAACAGACTGAGGACTGAGGCGGGAAGGGAAGAGGGTGCTCACGTTCGCTTGTGCTGCCGTCACACGGCTTAGGTGACGTCATTTCCTACTCAGAAACCAACTATGTTTTCCTGCAGCTAAATAGAAGAGCAGACTTCACAGGCCCTTCCAGAGGACTCGCCTATCATGTGCTCCCATGACCCCCATGCACCAGTCCTTGTCCTTGTCCCTTTAGCTTTTGTCTTCTGGGTTCACCCTTTTTCTCCTTCTCTCAGCTGGGTCCTGGCCACCCCGGCCCATCCTCAACTGCCCAAGACTCTTTTCTGCATTTTCTACACTGTTAATGTGCTGGTAGTAGCTTGTATGGATGTGTCCTATCCCCCCTTTTTGCGGGTGTGTTGGGGGAGCCTGCAGTCGGTCGCTCTGGTGGTTACTGAATAATCCTGCTGTGAACATTCGTGTACAAGGGGTTGTGCAGACGGGCTCCTTTCTCCTGGGTAGGTACTTCAGAGTGGAATTGCTAGGCCTGTGTCAACTTTGTTAAACCTTTTAAGAAAGTACTAGATTATTTTCCAGAATATTTTTTCCAAGTATTTTCCAAACTTATTTTCTAAAATTTTGGCATCATTTTATCATTCCCACTGGTGTTAGGTTCCAGTTTCCCCACGTCCCCGAAACACCTGTTACTGTCATCCTTTGGATTCTACTCATCCTAGTGGGTATGCAGTAGGGTATCTGTTGGTTTTGATATATATTTTTCTGGTGGCTAATGATGTCGGGCATCCTTTCTTGTATTTATTACCCATTTTATGTCTTCTCTAGAGAAATGTCTATTCAGATCCTTTGCCCGTTTTTTAAAAATGGAGTTGCCTTTTTATTACTGAGCTGTATAAGTTCTTTATGTATTCTAGACACGAGGCCCTTACCAGATGCGCAGTTTGTAAATATTTTCGCCCATTCTGTGGGTTGTGTTTTTACTTTTTTGATGGTACCTTTTGAAGTACAACAGTGTTAATTTTGAAAGGGTAATTTTTTTTTCTTTTGTTGTTTGTGCTTTTGGTGTCCTGAGAAATCATTCCTAATCTATCACAAAGATACACCCTATTTTTTATTCTAAGAGTTTTATAGTTTCAGCTGTTACATTTAGGTCCTCGGTCTATTTGAGTTCATTTTAATGTGTGAAGGAGGGATCCAACTTCATTCTTAGGCAAAATTTGTATCAGGTTTACACCTGAGAAACAGTTAGTAGTTATCTATAAAGAAACTCACTGTGAAGAATTGGTTTATGTGCTCTTTGGGGGTTGACTTAGGCAAAGCTGGAACTCGGTAGGGCAGCTGGTTGGCAGCTGCTGGAAGTCCGACCACAGGCGGAGTTGGTTTTTGTTTGGGGACACCTCAGCTCTGCTCCTGCGGCCTTTTCAGTCCACCCAACCAGGCCCGTTAAGATGATCGAGGACAGTTTGCCTCACATAAAGTAAACTGGTTGTAGACTTAATCATTTATGTACAATGTGTATTGTGTTAGAGTTTAATTGACTAACTGGGGACACTAGCCTAAGCCAGTAGATACATAAAACTGACTTTTCCAGTCTATCATCGCTTGTCCGCTTGGCACCCATGTACATCTCGTGAGAGCATAGTTGATTTCTAAGTAAGGACAGTAACAAAGACTCCCGCCTCATGTAGTAAAACTGCCCAGCACACAGCTGAAAATACATTAACCTTTTTTGCAGAAGACGATGCACACCCCTTGAGCGATTTTTGCTCTTATTCAGTGATACACAGTTAGCTTATTAATACTTATTATGATAGGAGAATAAAAGGGAGGAAAATAAAAATATTTGCTTTAACATATATACAAACACAACAAAACAAGAACCATTCCATAAGTTCTCAGGTCCAGGCCTTGCTGCTTTTACTCACTGTGGTTTTCCCTCTAGGAGAGCACTCCCGGAATAGCTTTAGTCTTTGAAGAAGAAAACCTTGTTATGTCTATGTTTATAAGTTAGAGTTAATATATCTCTTTTGCTCCCAAGGTACTTACACCTTCAGTTTAGTGAGCAAGTGTGCCTGTCTGTATGGTGTGTGTGTGTGTGTGTGTGTGTGTGTGTGTAATCATGGCTAGATGTTCATCTGTTTATCCTTGTTAGATTTTATACCACTTGAGAACAGGAACTATTCTGTGTTTCTTAAAGAGTGTTTAAGAGTGTTTAGTAAAACGCTTTACACAGTAATTTTTTTCAATAAATATTTGTTGAATGAATGCTGGAAAACCTCTCCCTTTTCTCCATCCCTCTCCCTGTGTCCAACCCTCTGCTACTGAGACTCTTACTGATATCCAGCAGTATATAGAGACACACTAGTAAGCAAACATTCTGTCCTCATAGCTTATGCTGAATATTCTGATTTGATGACAAGATTCTCTTTAAACTTTATTATTTTTTGGTTTCTAAAGTGATCTCCTTATAATAAACTCAGATTTAGGTGTGTGGCATTTGCTTTTCCTTAATCATGGATCTTAACCCCTAGAGCTATACAGTTTATAACTTGGTGTATAGTTGTCCTACACATCTGTGTGCATAACATTTATCTGCTATTAAAAAAATCTGAAAACTGCCTTTTTTTTAAGCCTAGTAATATATTGCAAATATCTTTATACACCCTACCATGTAGATCTTATTTTTAATGACTGAATTTTATTCCATTTTATGCCTGCATCATAACTTAATGTAACTTATTCTGTTGATGGCCATGTAGATTTTTTAAACAAAAAATTTGGCTTTTATAATTCTCATACATATCTGTATGTATCTATTTACTTCTAGTGTTTTTGAGGGATGGCTTATTTAGAAGCAAGATTTCATGGGATGTTGTGCATTTTGATGGGCGCTCTAAGACTAGAAAAGTTACACTGTTTGCCAGGAATTTTAATTGTATGTTTTTTATGCCTCTGCATTTACATTTTCACTCCCTCTTCCACCATCGCAGCGAGTCTAGAAAAATTCGAAATTCCAGTAAAAATTCGTTTGAGCCCGGAACCGTGGACCCCCGAAACTGGTCTGGTGACAGATGCCTTCAAGCTGAAACGTAAAGAGCTTAAAACACATTACCAGGCGGACATTGAGCGAATGTATGGAAGAAAATAGTTCTTCTCTTTCAGCATCGTTTGCTGCAGGGAGCTCAGATCAAATAGGAAAATACTTGAAGTGCATGTCTCCAACTGTGAGGCAAACCCCGTTCCTCGTTCCTCGTAGTAAACCTAAGCTGTTACTTCTGACGTCGCCTGTTCCTTCTGACGTCGCCGTTCTTACTGACGGGATTAGTAAAACATTAAGACAGCAAACTGGTGTCTGTCTCTTCTTTCTTCCCCCTTTCCAACTTACCACCTAGGACTGCACTTGTCAGCATGAGGACTTTGAATCATTTTGGGGAACAGTGATTTTAAAACCTCAAGTTTTTAAACATGATTTATATGTTCTGTATAATGTTCAGTTTGTAACTTTTTAAAGTTTGGATGTATAGAGGGATAAATAGGAAATATAAGAACTGATTATTTGGGGGGCTTTTTTACTTACGGTATTTAAAAATGCAAGGGTATGGATGTGAAATTATGTAAATTCAAACGCTTATGAATCAAATCATTGTTGAACAAAAGATTTGTTGCTGTGTAATTATTGTCTTGTATGCATTTGAGAGAAATAAATATACCCATACTTATGTTTTAAGAAATTGAGACCTTGTGAATATATGCCCGACAGCGTCTTATATATATTTATTTTTTATTAGGGAAAAGAATGGAAGTGTGGTGCTGCGTGAAACAAGCTGGCACTGGGGGTCACGCTTAAGCGCAAGGAAGAAACGCGGCAAGTGTAGCGCCGCTGGGTAATTAGTCTCTAGTCGCTTACCCTCCGAATAGTCAGGGTCTTCTAGTTGCTTTGAAACTAGGAGAATGTCCGGACTCTAAGAGTTGGGCGCAATTCTAAAAGTTAAGGTGGGATTTAAGAGGCAAAGGATAGAAAGCTATTCTTTATTTCATCAACCATTGTACATGCAGTTGTTCATATTTATAGCACCTCAATCATGGAAAGCTACTCTGTCCGCTCTGATGCTTTTAGTCTAGATGTGTAATCTATCGCATTTCAAAATGAGGATTTTTCTCTTGATAGTTTGCACTGGTGTGTGTGTGTGTGTGTGTGTGAGAAAGAGAGAGAGTGTGTGTGTGTGTTGGCAACTTATCAAAAAGGCACCTTATCCTTTCTATGAAACTTTTTTACACTAGAATACGGAAACATGGAGAATGTTTCTGATACTGGCATTCGTACTAAGATATATGAGAATTTAACTTTATACTGAGGTGAGTTAAGATTTAATTTGTAGGTTTTTATGTTACTGTGGAAGTTAAGATTCTAAAAACGCTGCTTGTATGTACATGGTAAGTCTTCATATGTGTTGCTTGTCTTGTATTTGAGCATTATCAAGAGTACTGTTGCACCAATGACGATGTGTTCAGATCAAGACTTCAAAAAAAAAAAAAAAGGTACCATGTTTTCTTATGTCCTCTTGGTTATTTTTCGATTCTTAGTTCCTTTAGGCATCATAAGGCAAAAACAAAGAAAAGAAGTAGATCTGGGTAGGACAGTAGGAATGCTGAGACCCAGGACTCTGTAGCTTTTGGTCATGTTGCACACACATCATATTTGGAGATACCGCATATGGTGTTCTGTTTCGAACTTTTCTTGTATTTGTTTATAAGCATTGTGTTTTGAGTGTGTTTTTCCTTGTCATAGTTTAAATTTATTCATAAAGTTTGGGAAAACTGCCAAGAAGTAAAACAATGAAAGACATTAAACAGAACTTCTCTGTCAGGATGTTGTGATCTGAAGATTAAGTCAGGGTGGGTGGAGAATTTGTTTCAGATGCTTTATCTTTAGAATGTCTGCTTTCAAATGATTTTTGAGAAGTTGTATTTAGAAAAGAAGGTTCAGTGCTTCAAAGGGAGGGAGAGAACAATGCAATCGGGACTCAAAAACTGTCAGATGAATACGCAGCTTATCACTGATTCTGGATACAAGTTGTTTCTTTTCAGAAGCCTCTAACAGGACTGATTTAATTTGCATTTTGTTCCATTTTTCTCATTTTTTTCAGTCCTAAAATCTCAGATGCCAGGTGTCAGATGTCACAGCAGAGTATGAAATTACATAAAGTAGCGTCCCCTTTCAAACAAGTTCCTCTCTGACCCACACCATCTTTAGTGACTTGAAAAATGAGACGTTTTCATCTTAACTTTTCGAAAAGAAACCATTGGTTTAACAACCAAAACCAAAAACACCACCCAACAATGAGGATTTTTTTAAAATACTGGTTTAGCTTGAAGACGCTTGGGGAGGAAAACTTTGAAGAATGTCAAAGTCAGTTGCTAAATCTAATACATCTGAAAACAGACTATAGATCCTAAAAAGAATGATTCTGAAGAACTTGTTTTCTGGAAATAAGTTACATAAGACTTATCAGCCTTGCCCGTGACAGTAAGTCTGAGGGCTGATGGCGGCTACCTCCCCTTTTCTCTTGGCAGCCTCCCTCACCTCTCCTGCTGGGGATTTTTTAGCTTCAACTTTATTAGAAAGGTTTTTACCAACAGCAGAACAAAACTGTAAGGGGTCTCTCTTAAGTACTGCTTTGATTTTTTAAGTAATGGATCTAATACCATGTTCTCCAAAGCTTGCAATTTTTTCAGCAATGTTTAAAGATTATCCTGGAATAAATTTTTTTTTTTTTTTTTTTTTGCTGCCAAAATAAATTCTATAGTTTTTAAAGCAATTATTTCCTGTGATACAACTCTAAAACTTAAAATCTCTTGTTTGTGAGTTTGTTCTTTTGTAAGAGAATTATGTACATCTGTGATGTTTTAAAGGGGAGCCACTATTAACAGTGTACATACTGGACCACGCTGAAATGTAATGCGTCCTTTCTCTACGCTTAACGGTTATTCACTGGGAGTTCATTTTGGTTGTATTCTTGGTTACTGCTGTTTTCTGCCTGAAGAAGTGTACATCATAAAGAAGCAATATAGCCACATGGTATGGACTATTTATTTGTAAATTGACATCAAGTTTGAAGAATAAAGATACGGAAAAAGTTTCTGATATTAAAACAATATTTTGTGTTTTTTTTTCCTCAAAAAAAAAGGTCTCTATAATATAAGGTCAAACTTAAACTGACATTCTTGAAATATTTGTTTTGAAAAAGGAGTTTGGGGAATTTCCTTTTCTTGGCCTAGCCAATCCTCTTGAAGGCAAATACTGTACTTTAGAAATTCTGGTCTTAACCTACTTTTGTTTCTGATAGCATTCCTCTGTTCTCTGTTTCTCTAACCCTTCGTGATGCCTCCTTTCTATTTTGGGTGTGCCTACACAGATTATCTGCTGTCAGCATTTAAAAATTAGTGACGTTAAGATGTTCTCTACACATAAAATATTCACATTATGAATTAGAGATCCTACAATTTGTGGGAGAAATTAAAAGCAACATGGCAGCCATAAATATGGGTTTTATTCCTACATTTAATCCTGTAATTGTGAAAGAATTGTTTCCTGCTGTGATATCTCAGAAACCCACCCCCCTCCCTGCCTTCAAGACCACTTGATGTTTGTTTCTGACAAAAACAGATGTATGTACCTTGATACCAACAGCACTTCTATAAAAGCAGGTCACTTTACGGAATCCTGCAACTGTAAGAAAGCAGCTTCGTGTGTTGTGCATCAACTTAAATATTAATTGTGCCTCATTTCTGTCATTAACTGCTCAGATTGTTACTTTAAACTTTGGTAGCTTAATGTTTATACTACATTAAGTAACACCTATGATTTTAGGTGAGGCAGGTCTCTGTTGTCATGAAAAGCTACAAGAACAGGCTACGTTTATATATATAGATAGCCTGATTTAAATGATATCATCAATGTGACCCCCTCTCCCCAAAAAACAAAAACTTGCCTCTGATTCTAATCTACTTGCAAGCATGTAGACTCCAAGGTCACATCTGTTCAGAAGTCCTCTCCAGCTACAGTGCTTTAATAATGGTCCATGGTCCCCTGAGTGGGCATTCAATCACTTTCTTGATTAAATTAAAATGTTAACAAAATTATAACCACAAGGCATATATGTGTCGAACGAGAGATGCATTTTTCTAGTTTAGACTTTCTGGAACCCTTTTCATCAAACCTTTCCATTAGCATTCTTATTGACTGATACTTTTGAATAGTGTTGACTTGGTGGGATTCATTCAGAAGCAACTTTTCCATTTGGTGATTCCTTGTTAATCCTCAGTTCTTTGTAAAGATAGATCCTGTTGTGTGAGTTCTCTGTTACACAATAAGATGGGGCCTCTGATTAAAACTTTTTCTGCATGGATTACCTTGTAGAAATAGGGTCTCTCTCCAATATGAGTTTTTTGTTGATGAAAGTTTTTCTGCATTTACAGATTTTCTCTTAAAATTTAAATTCAGTTTAGTCATATAATGTATTCATCACTTGCATGTAACACCCAGTGCTCATAATATCAAGTGTTCTCCTTAACAACCATCCGCTAATTACCCCATCCCCCCACCCAGCTCCCCTCCAGTTTGTTCCCTATACTCTCTTATGGTTTGCCTCCCTCTCTGTTTTTATCTTATTTTATTTTTCCTTCCTTTCCCCTATGTTCATCTGTTTTGTTTCTTAAATTCCACATGAGTGAAATCATACGGTATTTGTCTTTTTTTGACTTACTTTGCTTATCATAATACCCTCTAGTTCCATCTGTGTCTTTACGAATGGCAAGGTTTCATTCTTTTTGATGGCTGAGTAATATTCGTGTGTGTGTGTGTGTGTGTACACACATTGCATGCACATGTATATGTGTGTATATAGGCTATTGTTAATGTTTGCTATAAACATTCGAGTGCATGTGCCCCTTTGGATTAGCATTTTTGTACCCTCTGTATAAATACCTAGTGCAATTGCTGGTGCAATTGCTGGGTCATAGGGTAGTTCTATTTGTAACCTTTTGAGGAACCTCCATACTGTTCTCCAGGGTGGGTGTACCAGTTTGCATTCCCACCAGCAGTGTAAGAGGACTCCGCTTTCTCCACATCCTTACCAACATTTGTTTACTGACTTGTTAATATTAGCTGTTTTGACTGGTGTGAGGTGGTATCTCATTGTGGTTTTGATTTGTATTTTCCTGATGCCAAGTGATGTGGAGCATTCTTCATGTGTCTGTTGGCCATCTGGATGTCTTCTTTGAAGAAATTGTTCATTTCTTCTGCCCATTTCTTGACTGGATTTTTGGGGGTTTTTTTGGGTGTTGAGTTTGATAAGTTCTTATTATAGATTATGGATACTAGCCCTCTATCAGGTATGTCATTTGCAAATATCTTCTCTCATTCCATGGGTTGTCTCTTAGTTTTGTTGATTGTTTCCTTTGCTGTGCAAAGCTTTTTATCCTGATGAAGTACCAATAGTTCATTTTTGCTTTTATTTCTCTTGCCTTTGAAGAGGTGTCTAGTTAGAAGTTGCCATGGCCGAGGCCAGAGAGGTTGCTGCCTGTGTCGTTCTCTAGTATTTTGACTGTCTTGCTTTTAGGTCTTTCATCCATTTTGAGTTCATCTTTGTGTATGGTGTAAGAAAGTGATCCTGTTTCATTCCTTTTCATTCCCAACACCATTTGTTGAAGAGACTGTCCTTTTTCCATTCGACATTCTTTCCTGCTTAGTTGAAGATTAGTTGACCATAGAGTTGAGGGTCTAATTCTGGGCTCTGTATTCTGTCCATTGATCTATGTGTCTGTTTTTGTGCCAGTACCATACTGTCTTGATGATTGCAGCTTTGTCATACAGCTTGAAGTTCGGAATTGTGATGTCTCCAGCTTTGGTTTTCTTTTTCAACCTTCCTCTGGTTCTTCAGGGTCTTTTCTGGTTCCATACAAATTTTAGAATTATTTGTTCCAGTGAAAAATACTGGTGGTAGATTTTTCTCTTTAGAAAATGCCCTCTCATGGTAAGAGTGGGACGACCTATGGCTTTCCCACACTGTCTGAATTTATGGGGTTTCTTCATGGAAATCCTAGTGTGAGCTTTCCTGTTTAATCAAAGGCAAGCTGTAAGTGAAGATTTTCCTGTAGTGAACACATTTGTGGAGTTTCTCCAGTATAAATTCTTTGATGTTGATTACAAGGCGCATTATAGCTAAAGATTTCCCCACTTTCTTCACATTCATTTTTGTTTTTAACCTGCATGAACACTCACATGTTGGATAAAGAATGGGCAGTCCCTAAAGACTTTGTCAGGTTTTTACAACCAGAGGATTTCATACCTATATGATTTTCCACATGTTAAGGCAGTTCCCTAACTCTTTGACCTCAGGACTTCTTTACAATCTGAAACAAATTACTGGCAAAATTCTTGAGGACCCTAGAAAGCTTTGATTTATGTGGCTTACATCTCGATATTTTAAAATCATGGACTTTTTCGTTCACAAGTGTTTGTGCTTTACCAGGAAAT